GGTCCTCCTTCCTCCCCTTTTTGAAGATGGGAACCACGTTGGCCCTCTTCCAGTCCTCCGGCACCTCTCCAGAGCACCACGAGTGCTCATAAAGCTGCGCCCGGGGACTCGCAATGACCCCGGCCAGTTCCTTTAGAACTCTAGGGTGGAGATCATCCGGACCGGCTGACTTAAAAACGTCCAGCCCCTCCAGCAGCTCCCTAACTAGATCCTCACTTACCCTGGGCTCAGGTGTGCCTCCCTCGGGGCCTGATGGGGGCCTAGCAGGGAGGCGGCAGTTCTGGTCCTTACTGAGGAAGACAGAGGCAACGAAATCATTAAATATGTTGGCTTTGTCGTCTGGTGTGACAACCAGATTCCCCATCGCGTCCTGCAAGGGCCCCACATTACCCGGGGCCTTCTTTTTACTCCCTATGTATTTAAAAAAGGACTTCTTGTTGTCCTTAATCCGGGAAGCTAGTCCCAGTTCCGTCTCTGCCTTGGCCTTCCTAACTACCCCCCTACACCCCCGAGCAACTGCCGAATAGTCCTCCTTGGTGATGACCCCTCCTTTCCATTGGGAGTAAGCCTCCTTTTTAGCAAGGAGACATTCCCGGATGTTTTTGGTGAGCCATGGAGGCTTGTATGCTCTCCTGCCCCCTTTGGTCCTTGTCGGGACTACCTTCTTTTGGGCTTGGAGGATCGTCTCCTTAAGGAGCGACCACTGCCCTTGAACACCCGGCTCACCTCCCTTCAGAGACTTCAGCGCTTCTCCAACTATCCTCCTTAGCTCGTTGAAGTTCGCCCTCCTAAAATCTAGGGCCACAGCCTGACCGCTTGCCTTTGCCACCTTGCGCTGAATGGTGAATTCCAGCAGGCAGTGGTCACTGTCGCCCAGGGGGTCAAGCACCCGCAGCCCCCTCTCCAGGTCGTCGCCCGTGGCCAACACCAAGTCCAACAAGGCATCCCCTTGTTGGACTTGGGTACCCTCTGGCGTATGTGTACCCCTGGTTGGCAACCCCTAACCTAGACAAATTGACTGATTAAGCCAAAAGAAATCTTATGGGGTTCTATACAGACTAGTGCAAAGTCCTGCACTTAGGATGGAAGAATCCCATGCACCGGTGCAGGCTGGGGGCTGACTGGATTATTTGCAGCTCTGTAGAAAAGGGCCTGGGTGTTACAGTGGACAGTAAGCTGAATATGAGTCAACAGTGTGCCCTTGTTGCCATCAGTGTGTACTGGGCTGCATTAGGAGGAGCGTTGCCAGCAGATCAAGGGAAGTAATTATTCCCCTCTCTTCTGCACTGGTAAAGTCACTTTTGGAGTACTGTGTCCAGTTCTGGGCTCCCCACTACAGAAAGGATGTGCACAAGTTTCAGAGAAGTTGGAGAGGGTCTGGCAGAGAGCAGTGAAAATGGTATGGGGGCTGGGCTATGTGACTTGTGAGGAGAGCATGAGAAAAATAGGTTAATTTAGTCTGCAGAAGAGAAGACCAGGCATGGGGAAGGGAAGGGGGGCAATTAATAGCAGCCTTCAACTACCTTAAAGGAGGTTCAAAAGAGGATGGAGCTGTATTGTTCTCAGTAGTGGCAGAACAAGGAGCAGTCTCAAATTGCAGCAAGGGAGGCTTAGGTTGAATATTAGGACACACTTTCTCATCAGGAGGGCAGTGAAGCCCTGGGGCAGGTTACCCAGAAAGGTGGTGGAATCTCTGTCCTCAGAGGTTTTTAAGTCCTGGCTTGACAAAGCCTTGGGTGAAATGATCTAGTTGGGGCTGGTCCTGCTTTGAGAAGGGGCTTGGACTAAATGTGACATCCCGATGTCCCTTCCGACCCTCATTTTCTATGATCCTTTGAATATCTGGGTGAGTTTTAAACGGTCACCCTGAGGAGTGCACCAGAAATGCCTAGGTTGAGCAGGAGTGCTGTTGGAGGGGTGATGTTGCACTGGCCCTACACTGAGTATTCTTGGGGAGTCTTAGAGCTGCATGCCTCAGATAACCCATCCTGAGTGACAGTCACGGGCACTTTGTGCCCAAAAGTCATCTGACATCTCTCCCAATAATATATTTGATCCCATAAAAATTATCGCCCAGAATTCTTGCTTCTGTTCTTGCTGACTGATAGGTGGTAACGGTTGGGTTTAACTTCTGATCGGCCAGAGGATGGCAGAAGAGAGAAGAAAAGCGGCAAGTGATACTAGTAAGTAAACTCTCCCTCTCATCCCTTTTCCCTCCCTTATTTAAAGAGAGAGTTTTCATTCCCAGGTTGGAAGGGAGAAATAAAGCCTGGGTTAGAGAAGGGGAATGTCAAGATCCTGTTCTTACCTCCAAACACAACACTGACGCAGAGTCAGTGAAATTATTGGAAAATTCCAAATGGATCACAGGAAAATATGTTTTCCCTTGTGATGTGATGCCACTTTCAATGGCAAAAGTCATTGCAAGATTAAATGTTAGCAAGCTTCAAAGGGGTATTGGGCATTGATAAGGGTGGAAGAATATGCAGAGTAAAGCTCATTCACACTAACAAAACATATTGAAAATGATATTATGTTTAACACTATAATGTTTTAAAATTCATATCGTATTTTGGACACCAGGATGTGTCCTCCTGGTGGCATAGGATATTAGTGTTAGGCCAAACACCCATAATGCATTGCTAGACAGGTCTTCTGGCCTTTGCTCTAACTAAACTCTCTGATCTTTAGGTTTGTCACATTTGAGAACTGTCTAGTCAAGGCACTTCTTCAGCTTGCATTGAATGACATGGATTTACACAAGTTCAGCACTTCCTCTTACAAATGTCAGGCAGGTGCTGGTAAAAATGACTTGTGTTCCTGGGATCATGGGATGGTTGGGTATTTCTCTTTGAGAGAAGCAAACACAGATTAGCTACTCCTATAAGATTACATGTTACTGACAGGTTGGCTATAAAAGGGGTCACTGGGTGTTACTGGACAGACACTTTGGACTGGCTGAACCAAGTGTCTGACCCCTTTTTTACCCCTTTTGCAAGGGTTGAAGGTGAGGACTCTGGGTGTCTGTTCTGGAGACAAAGCCCTCTGTGACTTCCCTGTGCACTGATATGCTAGAGTAGGCCTGGGGCACCCAATTTGCCTAATTTTGCCTTGATCATTCAGATCCCCTTTTGTCTTGGGGGTCCTGGCTACCCTTTTCTCTTCTCATGCTGGGTCATTGCTTCCCATATCTCTGATTTTAATGCTCAACCCACTACTTTTTGCAGCAAGTTCTCTCCTTCCTCCCTTTCCTGATTTCCTACAGGGGGTATTAGCAGGGTTTAGACACAGGATGCCTGGAGACAGATCATACCCAGTAGCTTCATCAGCTGGTAGAAAGTGTCTAGTTGTGATGCCAGCTACAGGAGGGGATGATGTGACAAGCAAGTTGCCACACGTATTGCATGTTCTGTAATGCCCTTGGGTCCTCAATCCAGGAAAGGATGACTCTACTTACTTGGGGTTACTGTGAGGAGGGGAAGCAGGTGTAATCATATGCTGCACTGAGCCTTACATGGGGGACATAATTGGCAGCATGACTTTACTGTGAATGAGAATCTGTTTTGCTTTCCAACAGGCGGTGACATGGTGGAGTCAATGCTGCCTTCTCTGGTGACAGCAGAAGATAACAGGAGAGCTCCCAGTAAATCAGTATTTTGTTATCTACTTGGTGCATTGCCTAGGAATGACTGGACTTCATTTTGCTGGGCTCTGCACAAAAACAGAGAGAGAGACTGCCTCTGCCCCATCTGAGATCAGAGTACTTGAAGGCTAAATGTACCTTGACCTTTTCCCCTTTTGTAATTTCTACAAAATAGGAGAGAGTCATAGTTTCAAGTAGATGTTCTTTGGTTGGTCTTGGCAAAGATCTGCAAACTTACTCTTGTCAACCAAATCCCCAAACCTTTCAGTCAAAACCTGCAAGACTCAAACATTTAGAATGGCTATTCTTAACCTTGAGGAGCCAGGAGATCCGTTCAAGGGCATTATTACATCAGCACTGGCAGGTGTGACAGCACCTACACATGAGTTTCAGCATAAACCCAGACATTTCAAACCATAATGCCAAAACCACTCTGACCAGCTGCTGCTTTTCTGAGTCATTTGCAGCATAAGAACACCTCTCTTCTTTTTCTGCAGTCAAAAAATGAATGAAAGCAAAGCACTGACATTTTCTGAGAAATTGCCTTGAGTATAACAAGGATTGGCCTAATGAGGTTGAAAAGCACTGACTAAGGGTTTCCTCATGCCCACAGAGGACAGTGCCTGAAGAAAAGGAGGCAGGTTCTGAGGAAAAAGTTCCTTTGGTCAAATATTCACCATTTTCCATTGTTTAAAAAGCTTATTGAGAGAAGTTTGGACTGGCTCATGAGCAAGGCTTAGACACCCAGCCACTGAAATCAGCCACCTCTATAGTGTTGCTTTTTGGCTACAGAAAAACTGGTGCATCTAAAATAACTAACTGTGCTGGAAAATGTTGGACCCAAACAATGGAGACAAGAAGTGTTGTTCTGTAGCAGAGGAAGTAATAATAATGCTAAGAGAATACCCAGCTCTTTCACTGCAGTCTTCCTCAGCAAATCTCTGAGCTGTGTCAGTAGTTCTATGCCCATTTTAGAGAGGAAGAAACTGAGGCATAGGGCAGTGGAGTGCTTGCCCAGTCACCCAGCAGGTCAGTGGCAGAGCTGGTGATACAGCCCAGGCATCTCCTGCATCTTTGGCTCAGTCCCTGCAGACAGCTTGCCAGTGAGCCCCATTGAGAAACTGGCCTCACAGAACTAAAATGGGAGCTGGAATAGTTTTTAAAACTAGTTCTGTGTCCTCTTGAAAGACAAGGCTCCGCTTTTTGGGGACCCAGAATGAAAGCAGAAGCTCTCAGTGTGGGCCCAAAGAATTTCTCTTCTGATCAGCCAGTTCTTGGCTCCTGAGTTTTTGATCTGCAATCTGGGAAGGCTGACAGGACTCTTTGAAAGCATCTGAATGAGTTGATCAGAATTTAGGAAGGAATGTATTACATTGCTTGTCAAACAGCTCCTTTCCCCCCCAACAATTCTTCACAAAATTTGTTAACATGCTGTTTTTAACTTTTTAAGTTTTTCAATTTAAACAAATGAGAGAACCTGGTGGGCTTTCAGGCCACATGAAATGAGAATAACGCTGCCACCACACCCAGCACTCAGACCAGCAGCTGGACTTAATGAGGAGCAGAAGCTAGTAAGCAGCAGCCCTAGGGCAGGAGAGTAGGTGGTGGGTGCGTATGGAGGGAAGTTTGCGGAAGTTGTAAGCAGCCGAATACACGCTCCCATGACAGACGGCATGTGCATCTCCCATAATCTAGTGGATGTATGTACCAAGCACAGTGATTTCTTGTTTTGTCTTTGTGGCAGATTTATGCCTAACGTGCATTAAAGAGTAATGGGTCCTAATTGCAGTTACCATGGTCATCACAATTTTGCTCATTATCATCATTGCATTGGCAGGTGAGTAAAGAGCTGTTGTTACCCTGATCTGCAGGGTAGATTTACCTGATCCAGCCACTATGTCCTGCTGTAGCTCTGTCTTCTTCACTTATTTCCCTGTTGTATTCTTCCACGGGAAGAACCTTTTCCCTATCTCTCCTCTCCCAGTTTCTTTCCAGATGTTTTCCCATTTCCCTGTTCAGAGGGAGAAGGGGGGCCTAGATTTCCAGCACCCACAAGGAGCAACCCAGGCTGGCAAGTACTACACTCTCAAATTGCAGATGACCAGTAGAGAAGGGACTATTGCTAGGAATTCCCACTTTGTCCCTTTCTGAGAAGTGGTACCAGAAGTAAAGCATACTTCAGGCAAAGCAAGACTAAAGTAGTGTATCTAGCAAAGTCTCAAGAATACCTTTCATGGCCTGGGGTTGCTTGGATCTGAATGAAAAGCCTTCCATGGTGTGGTGGCTCAGGACATGTGAGGTGGGCTGTGTGTACTCTGCCTCAGGCAGGGGAACTAAAGTTTCCTTTGAGACTTCTTCATAAAAAGAAATGCACTGTTGGCCAAGACTTCAGTGGGTGGATGGCGCCAGCTGTTGGGGCTGGAGGGAAGCAGTTGGCTTCTTTGTATGCACAGGCCTTGGTAAGGCAGTGTTCCTGCTAGGGGGGAAGGCCATTTCTTACAGGGGGAGAAAACCCATGTGGCTTAGGGCTGAACTGGGTGGGGGTTGAGTGTCTTGCTCAGTTCTTAGCAACCGTTAGGCCTTCCTTTAAATAGAAACACAATCACAGGATTGGTAAAGGACTCCAGGGTCATCTGGTCCATCATCCTGCCCAAATGCAGGAGCACTGCTCTTAAATCATCCCTGTTCAATGCTTGTCGAGCCTCTTGGTAAAACTCTCTAAGGAAGGAGGTTCCTCAGCTTCCCTGGGCAGTAGGTTGCGCTGCCTCACTGACCTAACAGTAAGGAAGGTTTTCCTGAGATTGAATCTACATCTAATTTCCCAAACCTTGAAGTCATTGCTTTGTGTCCTGACCTCTGCAGCAATGGAGAAGAGTTGTTCTCTCTCTTCTTCATGGCAGCCCTTCAGATATTTGAAGACTGCTGTCATATCTCCCTTTAGTCGCTTTTTTCTGCAAGATGAACATGTTCAGTTCTCTCAATCTCTGGTCGTCCAGCTTGCCTTGAACTCCTTGGTCATTTTTGTTGTCCTCCTCTGGAGCTTTCCTCTATCTTCTTCACATTCTTCTTAAAACACACAGTACTCTAGATGAGGTCTAACCAGCTCTGAGCAGAGGTGTGCAGCTGCCTCCTGTGTCTAACACCCAGTACCCCTATTGTTGCAGCCCCAACTGCATCTGTTTTGTTAGCAGCTACATCTCATTTATGACTCACATGGAGTCTATGCTATAAGCATAAGAGCTTTCTCAGCAAGGCTATCACCCAGCCAGTTAGTTCCCATTCTGCATTTGGCCTTTTGCTCATTCTTCCCTAGGTGTAGTATTTTGCATTTATCACTGCTGAACTTCATCAAGCTGTCTCTAGCCCAGCTTTCCAGTTTGTCAGGGAGCTCTCTATTCTGGCAACCAAATTATTAGCCTTTTCAGTAAAATTTGATCCAGGACAGACCCCTATAGAAGCGTACTCTAAACCTCCTGCCATTGTAATGTCAGTCCTTTAGGGTGACTTTTTGATTGTGCGTATTGAGCCAATTATCTACCTTTATGAGAAGGTCAGACGGGACTTTATCAAAAGTTTTTCCCTTCATCCATCCCACTAATTACTTTGGTAAAGAAGGAGACAAGGTGATTTGTTCTCAGCAAATCCATGTGGCTGCTTGTGACCAGCTGCTCCTTCTCCAGCTGCTTATAAATTTGCTTCAGGAAGTTTCTGGATGTTGCAGCCAGGCTGACATTTTCGAATTCTCCAGGTCTGTTATGCCAGTCTGGGGCCTTAAAGTGGATGGAAATGACCCTCTAACATCTTCTCCTGTCTCCTTCTGACCACATCCTCAGTCCAGGCAGCTAGGGGAGCGGGAGCAAATATTTTGCATGGTATAGGGTGTCAGGGTTGGGGGGTCTGAAGGGCAGAGGAGAGTTGAGGTTGGTCTTCTGCTGTTCAATAGATCTTCTCTGCTTCCCAGGGGCCCCTGATGCTGCTCTGTGGCAGCGGGGATTAGCAGAGCTCTGTGTTGTCCCTGAACGCAGGGAGCACAGAGCCAGCCGTTCTAGCTGCTGTGGGGCCTTTTAGATGCTGAGCCTGTGCAGGCATCTTTGCCCGCTTAGGAGTGTGTGCACTGGGGGACTGGAGACTCCACAGGCCTCGGCCCTCTGTTTTGGTGACTTGTGCCCTCCTGAGTGTTCCCTGCTGGGGTGCATGAAGTGGTCCCCCTGGCGGGCCTAGCTCTTGAAGAGCTGTGAGTCTGCACCCCATGCTGTGGCCATGTGTGTTTTAGCTCTGGGTCCTTGTTCAGTTCCCGTTGGGGCAGCCCAGATGGCAGCCATCACAGGAGCACCCACAGTGGGCCTTCCAGAAGAGGGGATGTTTGGATGGCCTGTGTGTGTGCAGCATGTGTGCAGCCAGGGGCTGGGTGTGTGGATGTGTGTGTGTGTGTATGTGTTCATTAGGGCGAGTCCCATATGCACACCCCAGCATACACATGCACCCAGAGTTCCCTTGCACTGGCATACATGCAGACCCCCACACCCCACATCCCACATATCCATGCACATACCCACATGTTCCCTCACCCCACAACTTACACCCACCCCCCACAATAGACAAGAGTAAGACTTCATTTTAAGCTATTGTGCCATCACCTCAATGTAGACTATACAAACACATGTAAATCGTGCCAAAAATATTTTTTGATATCAGATTCACGAATGCTGTAGATGTTCACTTTTTGGAATGTAATTTGGTATTTTTTCTGGTGTCAAGATGGCAAAACCCCTTGCTGAAAGGAGTACTTCTGGGGGCAAGGGAGAGATTTCTGGTGGCAAAGGTCAGAGGTTAGGGGTGTAGTAAAAATACGCTAGAACTTAAACATAATGCCTTTTTGCAAATGCTTTTGTATTCAGCATGCTTTGCAATAGCTTCTGCATACAGATTGAGGCCTGCTCTGCACATAAAATTTCGTAACCATACTTCTTCAGTGCCTTAGACAAGGGGTTACTAGGAGGCATTAGGTTTGCTGCAGTTCTGCTTTTGGACTGCGCATGCGACAGGGCCTTTGCCGCAGTTCTGCTTTTGGACTATGCATGTGCTAAAACTTGATAAGAAACACTAACCAATAACCAACTAAGCTTGACCTGCAAGATAAGACGTAACAATAAGGAAATTGTAATGTCACCAATAGTTGCAGGACACGCTGAAACCCTCTGTTTATGTAAGCTATAAAAGTGGAACCTCGGACACACTCGGGGTCGACTCTGCTTTGGGCGACTCAGCCCCTTTGTCGATCTGTTTGCGCAAACAATAAACTCGAGATGGACCCATCCTGCATGTGACTCTCTCCTTGAGGTAAATTGGGCAAGCCTCCAGGGGCACGAAACTAGCCATTTGTGCAACAATTTGGTGAGCCAGGCAGGAGTAGCCCTTGGACCACCCCGGGGTCGAATGACAAGACCGGCAAAGGTGTCCGTGGAGTGGCCACCAGACCGCTTTTGGAGTCTGCCACGGTCACCGGGAACGTGAGTCAGGACACCCGGGAGGTTAAAGGCTCTCCACTGAATGAGTCACCCAGGCTGAGCGGGTCCGAAGAGACGGCACCAGGGGGTTGGCAGAGTAAGTATTCGCTTTCCTTGTGTTACTCGAATAGTCCCTCGGGGAGTTTGGGAGTCTTGAAAATTCAGGTATTGGTTTTGGCGTTCAGCATATAGGTCTGGACTTGAGGCCCGGGGACTTCCTTTAGAAACATGAGCCGCTGACCAGGTCTGGGACTAAGGCTGAGCCTAGCCACCCCGATTCTGCCTAACAAGGTAGCGTCAAACGCAAGGGGGCTCAGTTGGAACCTTGTGACCCAGCGGATAGGGATCTGAGTGGGTTTGTATATTGATTGACACAATGGGTTTGGTTAGCTCCCGGGAAGAAGACTCTGCATCCCCATTAGGATGCATGCTAAGAAACTTTAGTAAATTCAAAGGAGATTATGGGATAGAAATGTCAAAGGACAGATTGATTACTTTCTGTCAGTTGGAGTGGCCATCATTTGGAGTGGGGTGGCCGGATGTCAGTTCTTTTAATGTGAAGTTGGCTAATGCAGTGTTGAATGTGGTGACAAGGGACGGTCATTGGGATCAATACCTGTATATAGATTGCTGGATAAGTGCTGTAATGAACCCCATTCCCCCATGGGTCCAAAAGTGTAAAGGAAAAATGTGTAAGGCAAAAGACACTGGGAAAAAGCCCCGAGTTCTTCTCGATTCTGGTAGTGAGGGAGATCTGGCTCAGGGACCAAGGCACAGAAATAGAGCACAGTCACTGGCCAGCACAGGCACCAGGAACCAAGAATCATTGTCGTCACCCCAAGATAGCCCCAGCACTTCGGGAGAGGAAACCTCAGGGAGTTCCCCAGCATTATCCCAAGCCAGCCCCAGTACTCTGGGAGAGGGAAGTCCAGAGAGTTCCCCAGCGTTGTCTCAAACCAGCCCCAACACTCTGGGAGGGAAGGGGGAAGGAGGCTCAAAGACTCTCCTAGCATCAGCCCCCCTTTCTTATGAACGCAAAGAGAAAGACGACCCACCGGATCTCGACCCGGATCCCGACTACCCCTACCCATACCCACCTGCCCCATGGCCCCCGCAATGGCGTCGCTCGATCTGGGATGGATGGGCACCGATGCCAGTTAGAACTCCCCGTAAGACCCATAACCAAAGCCCCCATTATGTGTTTCCAATGAGACAAGTAGCAGTTCCAGAAGGGGAACCCACCTTTGTCTATGTGCCTTTCTACACGTCAGATTTGTTCAATTGGAAGAATCAAAATCCTTCTTTTAGAGAGGACCCTGAGAAAATGCAA